GAGTCATGACCTTCTATCAAGCAAAGTCAATGGCGAAGCCAGATTAATTTAACAACCCTGTTACTGACTTAACAACTGCAGTGATTCCCTTAACAACAGAAGGTCATAAAGTGGAGCAAAACTCATTTAGCAAATGTCTCACTTAATAACAGAACTTTTGGGCTATATTTGTCATCATATGTCAAGAACTACCTGTACAACTCCTCATTTTGGATTACCCCACATAATTTTTCAGATGCTTTTGGGAAAATTTACTGAAAATTAATTTCCAGTTTTATAATTTCTCTTAGAATAATTCTTATTCTATGAATGGTAGTGACTAGAGTACTATTTATCCTGAAAAGATTATAGGTCTAAATAATATGTGGAGCAAAATGCTCATCTAAATAATTGTAATACTCCTTTTTGTTTCTATTCAAAACTAAGTTTCATTGGATTTAAATACTTTTTAAACTCTCCATCAAGTTGAGCTTGATTCTTGATAACTTCATGGATATATTTGTGTAATTTTCTTAACAGCAATAGGAGGATGTTTTGCCATAGCTTTCCTCTACCATGCTTTTCTTTTTAAAAAAGAAAATCTTTTGCAGTCTAGTTCTCATAGGATTGATGCATCTTATTTGCTTTTTATTTCAAAAGTTATGCTTCTGCAATAAAGACATGAACCTGTTTTCCCTTTTCCTTAACTTTTTAAACAAACTGCATTATGTTTATATTAATCTGCTCCTGTAGTTAAAACAAATGTATGTGGTTTGTTCTGTGCAAAGTTTGGATAGCAGCTGAGCTTACATAGAAATGATGCAAGTCTGATTGTAAGGTTAAATTGCAGGATCTTTTTGAACTGTAGTTTACATTATATTCCCAAGACTGTTGGATATAAGTTGTTCTTGTTCAGAGTTCAAATATCTGTTGTTATTAATTGTTATAATGTTATTTGTCACATTTTTCTGTTCACCTCGGGAATTCTAAGCTATTTTAAGGTGCTATATAGTGACAGATCAGAAGTGCGAAGTAACTCGACACTTTTTTACCCATTGCAAACTAATGTACAAAGTAGCACATAAAACATGCAGACTTAATTTACTAAATTTAAAAAGGATACATTTACAATATATCAGACAGACAGAATTTATAATTCTTTACAAAATTTCACACAAGCCAAAAAATCCAGTTATGACACTGCAATTATTGTGTTTCTTCTACCAAATACATATGAAAATATAAGTTAACAGATATTCAGAAATTACCATCTATATAGGATGAGGTATAGTTCTCTACAGCTTTCTTGGAACAACAGCGGCAATTAGGACTGGGGTCTTTGAGAAAAATGCTATGATGTAAAGCTCTTTTTATAGTATATATTCACTTTGAAAACAGAATGAAACATAGTTAGAAAGCCAATGGGAGATAGTCATGCCAGCAACAGCATTAAATACAACTGGTCTACATTGTCCCTGGAGGAAGTACACTATATAACACAACAGTGGTTGAGATCTAGGAGAAGATTGACAGCTTTGTGCATTGCTGCCGGGGAGGTGGTGATGCAAAATATCTAGCATGAAATGCAACATATAAGAAAATCTTCTGGGGGCATGGATCATCCATTCCTAGAAGATTCCTGAGGTCTGTGGACGTTGAAAGTGTACGAAAGTCTTTCTAGGAATGAAACTTACATGTGTGCACATGTGCACATACAAACTCATAAACCTATCCTTTTGGGGAATTTTTAAAAAACTACTGCCTCTATGTGTTCCATTTTTTTTTTACAGAGGGTTAAAAAAGAGTAGGAAGTGTGTAATGTACAGAACTAACCTGTTTTACAACATTAAGTAAAAATGTTAGTAATCTTTTCAAGTTTAGAACTTTGTATATGCAGAGATAATATTCAGCAACTCAGACAGACAGACTTAAATATTAGTTTAAAAGGCATTGAGTGTCAGGAATAAGATTTTTCAATCTTCCTGTTAAATAGACATTCAGTTTGTAATTATGCTTCTGTAACAAACACTGAGTATCTTGGCTTTTTGTTTCATTGCTTGTTTTGTTTTTTGCATTAGGTTTTGGTTAATAAGTAAAGTTTACTTAGAGATAATAGGATTTATTGAAACAGGTATATGACTTTTTTCATAATAATTCACAGTTCACCAACTTTGGTCTCGATTCAGACTAATTCCACTTTTGAACTGGTATAGCTCCAGTTATTAATTATAATGAAATCTAAAAGTATTCGGCTAAATATTTCTTCATTTATAATGCAGCTGTCAGGTTTACACTTTACCATTACGTGTGACTATCCCTATTAAAAATCAGTTATTGATGCTTGTAGAATTTTAATTATAATTTTGTTTCCAATATCTAGTTTTGTTCTTGTATAGATAGTTTTTGTATATGTTGAGTTAAAGTCATTACTGACAATTACAGTGTAGGAAAGTAAGTATTAGCCAAGTTTAACTAGAGGAATCTGAATCAGGCTGTGTAATCATCTCTTAATATCAATTTTAAAATTGAAGTGCTATTCTGATAATTTTGAAGGTCCAAATTATGCCGTACATAACATCCAAAATCTCCATGAATGTACACACACACACACACACACAATCATTGGCCTAGAGAGTAACAGTGCATGAGTTCATTCGTATAATTTTGGAATGTTTTTCATCTGTCTGAGAAAAGGAGACAGGTTAAGGAAGTATTGTTTTCTATCTGCAGCCATTATCAGCATGCATACATAGAGTTTTAGTGAAGACAAAGATATCTTTATCTAGACAATGGATAGGCCTACTGATTTCAAACTTGCACTTTTGCCGTAGATTGTATTTGCCCCTCCATCTCTGGGTACTGTTTTTCAAAATTGCCTGAGGCTACAGTACAGCACCTCAGATCCCCAAGGCCCATTGCCTGGCTCCTAATAGCCACTCTCCATCTGTGTCATATGAACAGCTGATGAGATAGCTCCAGTCTCTGTATTTTGGGAGCACATCCACCCAGGTTAAAATGCTGGGGTTGCCAAGGAGCAGTCAGAAGCCATTAATGTTGTGAAAATTTGCCTTGCAGCAGTTCCTTGGCATAGTGGAATTGGTATGACTGTAAAAGGATTTATGCTTATGGACGCATAGATGTAGGATGGTGGGCTACTAGGAAAAAACCCTTCTAAAATAGCATTTTTCCAAAGCAGATAGCTGAAGATGGTCTGATGTCTTTTCCTTAGATTGCTCTTCAACCTTTCTATTTACCTTTTATTTGCCATAAGTCAAAAAAAAAAAAGGGGGGGGTGGAAGAGAGAAAAGTGAGTCCCCTTTGGCAGATGGAAAGGAACTACTCAGCCTTGGGGCAGGGTGGTTGTAATGAAATGGCCTGTCATTCTGTAAATAGTGAGGACCATCTTTTCTATGTGATGGAAGATATCACATTGCAGTTAAAATGGGAATGTCAATAAAATTAATCTTCCAGCTCTTTGCTCAGATTTTTTTTGTTTCTTTTTTTAAAGAAGGTTAGGTGGTTGCAACCCTGATGCATTCATGCATGTATGCTTAAGACATACCAAAGAAAAGGTGTGTGAATAGAACAGATAAAGGAGAAATAAAATTTAAAGTTTGGAGGAAAACAGACTGTATAACTATAATGCTTTTAATTTAGCAGTGCTAAAGAACTAGAAGAGGCTAGAGGAATTAGTTTGTGGTTCTGTAGCATTCCTCAGGAAGCTATGAAGCCTCTGACTCAGGCTACATTGAGCACAGAGTTTATTGTTTTAGGCTTTCTTGGACAAGGTTTTTACTTAGCATGGGATTTATGGCATTTACTGCTAATGAATGTCTATTCTTAAATTACAAAACCACCGTCTCAGTGCAATTCCCAGATGTCCTTCCAGGACCTCAGCTTCTTAAACACCAGCAGGGAGCATAAACTCTCCACTTCTCTGTTTTCCTCTTTCGTGTGGCTCCGGGCTAATGATGTGTAAGGAAAACACAGCAATCTATAAAGTCTCAGTGCTGTCCCAGTATTCTTCATTTATTTTGCATTTGATTATGCCACAAGTCGGATCTTGTTTCTTTCCTTTTTTTAAGAGTTATTAGTTCAAATATTAATGTAGGAATATGGCATATATTGCTGCTCTTGATTGATGCCTTCCCAAAAACAGGAAGACGTGCTCGTATGAATTTTAAGAAAGTAGGGGTCCTGCAATGCCTTGCCAGAAGAGTTTTTCAGATACATAATTTAGATGCCCTCCAGGCATGCTTTCAAGGCATTTTTGCTGGAGGGCAAGAAAAAATAACTATGACTGTTAAAAGTAAATGATTTTTTGCTAATGCACAATTAATGCCAGGAAAAACCACTGAAGAGAAAGATGTTGATGGAAAGTTCTGTTTAAGTGAGCGCCCTACCTTGATGTACATCTTTTTTTTTTTTTTTTAGAAATAGGCTAATAATCACTGATGCAGACACAAAGGTTTTCGTGTCTTGCAATAACTGTTCAGGATCATGCTAGAAATGTTTGTGTTTGTGGACTTGCGTGTACAAGCTTACATGCATGTATGCATTATAAGTAGATGAGAGCGTATAGGGAAGGGATGAGCTGATAATACGTTACATTCATTGAACAGTGAAATATTTATTGTCACCTATGCAGAGGGTTCAAAATATATAGATCACAGAACATTTAACTTGATGGCTGCAAGGAATGCATTTATAGTATAGGTTTTCTTGTAGTAGATTTTCACATATTGTACCCTATAGTTTACAAAGAGATATTGCACCATTTGAAATACATATCTATAATTGAATTAATGGTCTGTGTATGTATGCAGCATAAAATTAATATTTGGATGGACAATGGTTTCTAACTTTTTATATTTCTATCAAAATTATATTTAACACATTAAAAATACTGGTATCTTCATATATGAATAAGAGTTCATTAGTGCTTGAGTTGTTAATCTGATTAATCAAATGGGTTTACAGTGGTTGTTTATTATCTCTTGTCCCATTTCTTTTTCTTTTAGGGGATGGTTTAGACAACAGTGTAGCTTCTCCCGGCACAGGTGATGATGATGATCCAGACAAGGATAAAAAACGTCAAAAGAAAAGAGGAATCTTCCCCAAAGTAGCAACAAATATAATGAGAGCGTGGCTTTTCCAACATCTCACAGTAAGTGGACTTTTAAAAGAATTTAAAGAATTTTAAAGAATTCTATTGAACAAAAGTCCTTATAGTTAATTTTCCTTTTAGAATTTATAGATCTATTCACTTATTAGTTTAATATAAAACAAAATTTGATTTTGCCATTGGGCCTGGGGATCTCATAGGATGCCTGTGAAATGTTCCATTGTGCATAAGTTCCATTGTGCATAAGTTTAGAAAGCACTCTCCCTTGATTTTTTTTGTTATTATATAATGTTTAACTGTTTTTATTGTACAGGTAGTCTTCATTTAGTGATCACAATTGTGAAAGCAACTGTGTTGTTAAGCGAAGTGGTTGCTATGTGAAACATCCTTTACAATACTAATTCACTTTTTACTTAGCCTCACAGACCCACAAAGGTTACAAATGAGTGTCTTGGTTGCAAAGTTTCTTTTTCATCATTGTTATAACTGTGAATGATTGCTAAATGAGGCAGTTGCTAAATGAGGACTACCTGCATTTAATGGGTTTTGTTTTAATTAAGTTGCTTGTATAGTTTTATTTTTTAATTTTGGGTACTGCTTTGAGTCATAAATATGAGATGTGAGGCTGTATAAATTCAATAAATAAGGTAGAATAAAATGTATTCAGATATTGTAAGTTGATATTTTTCTTTGATGTAAATTTTAGAGTAATATGTGTGTGTGTGTATAATATATGAATGATCTCAAGTAAAAAAATACAATGAAACGTAACAATTAATTTTGGTGTCTATATGATAGCTTCTCCCAAGCTGGTACCTTCCACATGTGCCAGCCTTTATTTTCTTTAATTCTTAGCACATCTGGAAGACACCAACTTGGAGAAGATTGGTTCATGGTCCTAGATTTCACACACATACATACAGAAATTATGTGATCATCAGTGAAGGGTCAGCCAAGCTTAAATAACTTTTCAAGGGTTATTGTGAACCAAGCAGTTCTGTGGTGTGATTTATGTTATTTAATGTGAGTTTCAGATTTTCCCAGAATTAAACAGATGCGATTAGTCCCTAGATTAGACCGTTCAGAATAGTGGTGGTATATTCATTTTGGAATGTACAGTACTTTTGTATGTATATTCCAATAAGGTACAAAAGTTCTATAAAAATATTTTTGTGTTGTAATAAGGATATCCTTCTCAATCCTATCTATTTAAATTGCTCTTTTAATCTCTTATTTTAAAAGCTAGCCATATTGATTTTAGGGTTAAAAATCGGGAAAGGAATATTTAATAGCAAGCTATGCTGTTTGCAACTGGTATTTTGAGATGGTATTTTTTTACTATTATCATTTAGGCAGGAAAATATATATCTACAAAAGTAGTAGTCCCTTAATTTTACATGGAATTAGAAAATATATTCTTATAAGAACTAATAATTTAAAAGAAAGCCCATGGTGAACTATCATAATGATAAGTGCTAACTTAGGTAGTCCTTGATTTACAACCACAATTTCTGTCTAAGCAAGGCAGTTGTTAAGTGAGTTTTGCTTCTTTTAACAACTTTCTTGCCACAGTTGTTTAATGAATCACTGCAGTTGTTAAGTTAGTAATATGGTTGTTAAGTGAATCTGGCTTCCCCATTGACTTTGTTATGAGAAGGTCACAAAAGGTGATCACATTACTCCAGGACACTGCAACTATCATAAATATAAGTTAGTTGCCAAGCATCTGAATTTTGATCACATGGCCATGGGATGCCGCAATTATTGTAAGTATGAAAACCAGTCATAAGTCACTTTTTTCAATGCCATTGTAACTTCAGTCACTAAATGAACTGTTGTAAATTGAGGACTAGGTGTATTAACTTTATACATTTTTGTTCATACGGTAATTAATTTCAGTGTCATAATCCCTTTGATGATACCTGTTTTACTTATGGTAGTGACTACTCAACATTTCTCAGTAGCTGGTAGAACAGCTTTAGTGGCTAGGCAGCAATAGAACCACAATTCTAAATCTTCATTTTGATGTAAGAGCGTTATTAGCAAACTAAGGTGAATTGATCTGGCCTAAAGGGTCAGGATTATTTCAAATAGCCAGCCTCTCTGTTCGAGTAGTGGTTATTTTTGCCTTCCAGCTATGGCCATTCCAAAGGTCAGGTGCCCCATAGTACCCGGTTGGCTCAGAGGAATTAGACAGAACATGAGTCTCTGGGCTGATTACTTAACCAAAGACAAAATAATGAGTCCTAAGCAAATACTGACTAATTGAAAGGGCTGTAAATCCATTACATATTGGTCAGGGATAATCAGGAGTATTTAATCACTTTTATCTATTCAAGAGCACTGAAGCTGCAACAGCAAAGCCCTGAACCTTGCCATGTGCTTATTATTCTCATCATTATCAAAATTACTTCACAGCTGTTCTTTGCTACATCACCTCAGCTGGAGATTTACTAACCTGTAAAATGTTTTTAATTTGGAAGTTGAGTGTAACGCGAATGATTTTTTTAAAAGTTAAGGAAGTGGTTTGAAGAGCAGCACAATGATAAAGAAAAAAAATTGGGGCTATGAGTAATTTCTTTCAGTTCACTTAAGTTTACTATTAATTTCTCTCACCAAATCGTCTACATCATTTCTATGGATTTCTCCACTGCTTTTTGTTCTAAATGGCTGTGTGAAAATTGTTCAGGGCATGCTTCCAGTAGAAGAATTTGTGTATATTGTATCTTGAATATAATGTTCCAGGATATTATTTTGTCTTGAAATTTGTGCTTTTTTTTTTCAAACTCACTTTAAATGACTTAAAGAAAATCAAAAGCTTTGATGAGGATGATCTTTGAATAAGTTAAAAAAATTACCGTCTAGGTTTTAATGAGTTTATAGATGTCAAAGAATGTACTAATAATTCTTCAGCTTCAGAATGATAGTGCAGACCTCTGATTAGTGAATTGAAAATTCAAAAGACGTTTGCTCTAAATGCATGTAGACAAGGAAAAAAAATCTTCCTCTTAAATAGTGCCTCATTTCTTTATTTTTTTTTTTCTTTTTGGTTCTCAAACAATGTAGTTCTTTCAAAATATAACTTTTCTTCAACCACAAAAATAAATGTTAATTTTATAAATATTGTTTCAGAGAAAATTCATTATAAAAACAGCTTCTAATTTTAAACTTTTTCTGTTCATTACTTCTCTAACCTTATTTCAAATAGGTTGGTCCACCCTTTTGTGCTGTGTGACCTATTCTTCTATTACAATAATCTTACAATGTACCCTTTTCGCTCTTTCTTTAAAGAAGAAACTAATTGAATTATCTCATTATTTTAATTTGTTAAGCAAATGTATTTTACATCCCAGGATGTGTTCTTAAAGAAGGGGCTGCTAAGGCTTTGCCCCTTGAATGGCCCATTGGTGCATTTTGACATTCATGCATTCTCATTAATGAAAAGAACATAAAAGGACTTTGGCTGTATTTTATTTTTTCAAACACCCAACCAGTATGGAACAACTTTTTCCATAACCCACAGGGGTCTCTCTACATATGTTCTCAACTGCAAGCTATTGTCATCTATTTTGAATACCTGAAAAGGACAAATAAAATACTAAAGGCCAACTGTAGCAATTGTTAGTTGTTAGTTTCAGTATGACAAAAATCATTAACCTACTCTTGGTCCGGCAGACAAAGGACTGAGAAAAACTCTTAAATCACAAAACATTTTTGTATGTGAAATATTTGATTAAGTACAAATATACATACTTACAGACAGACAGACTTATTCTTCTATTAACAATATTTAGTGCAATAAATATTCTACAATATAATTCAGACTTAATCTCCTGTATATTTCTTTTGAAACTCGATTATAATTCTTCATTAATTAATTTGACCCATTGACATTTACATTTCATAATGTTATTTCCTAATTATTAATATTACAATTCCACAATCCTACTTTTGGAACAACTTCAAAAATACAAATAGTAGGCTATATGCAAAACTATTTTCTACACACATTTTCTCTGCTTCCTTTATAATTCAACCATGTTCTTATTATGCAATTGGGAACTGCCTTATGTATGGTATTACAATAGTACAGGAAGATGAAAGGATCTGAGGATGAATTGCTTGGAAGCATACTTGCTTATTCTGGATAATATCCAGTATTTGAGTGGGTAAAGGAAATCCTAACCTGGTAGTATAAGCTTTTCAGAAGTACATAAAGATTATGATATCAGAAAGGTAAACCTGACATTAGGGCTGTTGTTATTTCACTTCAAAGAGAGTTAAAGAAAAGGAACAGCAAGAAATCTGACCCATGCAAGGTTTATACATAGCCTTGGAAAGCTATTTTTTTTCCTTCAATGCCAAACAGCCTCTTAGTACACTCAATTAGTCTTTCAGACATCTCTGTTTTCCTTTTTCAAGTGGTCTCCCCTGCAAATAACATATTTGATCATGAATGAAAACAGGAAGTATTTGTGTACAAAGATACCTCTTGCTCACACTTGTGTTGAGCTAAAAGTTTTCTTATCATAGCAGCCACAGAAAAACTTACTGCATGATGTAAAACTGTTTTCAAGATAGATGTACATAATCAGAACAGGCAGAAGTTGCAAAGGAAGGAACTATGTAAGTTTATGATTTTTTACTTTTAGTCATCTGATTTTTTTCCTGCAGCAGAGATGAGAATTGCACATTGATTCCATTCAGTCTTATTTCCTTTGTAGAGGTATCTGATATAGAGTTTCGATTTAAGCTCACATTAATACATTTTAATTTTTAAAAAGACAGATTTTTACCCATTTTTACCATTTAAATAGTTTTTAAACTTAAATGTTTATGTTTATTACCATTTGAAAAGAGCAGCTGAAGTTTGTTCCAATTATAAGTCTGTAAATCATTGAATATTATGAGATCTCTGTGTTGCTCACAATTGCTTCCTGAATTGTAGGTTAAAATACTTGTTACATATGATATTAAACTAGTTCTGAAACACTGAGATTTGAAAGAATAAACGCCAGTAGAATTTAGGAAATGTCCATAAA